CAGAATCTCTGAGGAATGCAGACAATCGAGCTTTCTATAGTGACGAAACAAAGAAATGAATTAGTAACTAATAGTTAGAAATGAATTAGAATATTATCAACGTATATTATTTCTATAGTGACGAAACAAAGATTTACCTGGTCGATATGGTCGAGAAGGAATGTGGTACGCATTTGGTTGAAAATAAGGGTACCTCTTCAACATTCCCTCGAAAGTATAACAAAAGGTTTCAAAAGTGAAGAAACCAATATGTCTAAATAGCAGCCTGTCCCCTATTCTTAACGAATTCGCAGTAATGAAATTAGAAATTCCTATAGTGAAGTGCATGTTTCCAACTGACACTTCGATTCCGAACGACAAACCATATTTCAAGATCGCAGTCGTTGTGAAGTGCTGCATTAGATGTCGATACATGCAATTAGGGATTTTCTAATGTAATTCTAAAAAAAAAAAAAAATTAGGGCGCATTTAAAAAACAAATTGGAATAGAAAAGAAAATAAAAAAAGTTCAAATTAAAATTGATTAATTTACCATGGTCACACGCGACCTAATTGTAATAAAAAACCACACAATAGTAGATCTCGTAATATCCGGCAAATGTTTTTGATCATTGCAAGCTACACGAAAGCAAAGAAAAAAATAGTTATAATTACACATTATAAATTTGAAATATGAAATGACTTACATGAGGGAAGGATTAGTGTTCGTAAGCCATGTTGTAGGACGTCATAGGTAAAACGCTCTGCATCTTGAAAATTATGAAATGCGAGATATGATTTAAAAAAAAAAAAGATTCTCGCCTAATCCCCTTCAGATTCTCACAACTTCCTTACCCTATTTCTAACCTCCTTTTTCACCCATTCCCATCCCATTATCTATCATTTTCACCACTAAAACTATCTCTCATTTTCACCACTCAAACTCTCACCATTTTTCCTCCCCATTTCACCGTTCCCTTATTTCCTTCTCCAAAAAAAAAAAAAAAAAAAAAAAAAAAAAAAAAAAACATATTGTTGTTGTTCTTGTTTTTCATCCACCAAGTCAAGCACAATTGCTTCCTTCTTCCAAGTGAAGTAAAGCAACGCATTACCCTACAATTCGTAGAAGGTAAGATTTTTACAAAATGTGCAGTAAAATAATATGTTCTTCTTTTACATTTTGTATATGTACGGTAAAATAATATGTATGTGATATTCATCTATTTTTTAACATTTATGTCATTTAGATCTGTGAAATGTATCGTTTTTGCACTGTCTAGAACTGGCATATAGGTTTTTTTTTTTTTTTTGGGATTCCACTGTGTTAAACAAAAAATATGTTCCACTGTGTACAATAGAATGAACTCCCATTGTTTACGGGCACTACATCTAGATATTTTTTTTCGAAGCTTACATGTTACCAACTTATACTAGTTACCATAAGACATAAACAGCACACTCAAATTCCAAAAAATCAAAAGCCAATCCACATATATACAAGATAGCTCACCAGATCGAGTGTTCCTATTGTGAATGAACGAACTCGGGGTCGGTATGGGAGAATCTGCAGATATGCAACTTAGTAAAAACTGCTATAAAATTAGAGTTGATTTTTTTTCCTTAATTAAATTCTATTCACGCCTAAGCTTTAGGCGTAAATAAAATTACAGGCCGAGAGGCCGAGAGACATTAAAAACAGATTAGGCCGAGAGGCCGAGGGACAGATCTCGACCTGAGGGACAGATTAGAACTGATTTAGACTAATCAAATTCTATTGACGCCTAAACCTTAGACGAAGTTAGAATTTTCCCCTTCAAATTCTATTCACGCCTAAACCTTAGGCGAAATTAGAATTTTTATTTCTGCCTGCCCAGGCGAGAGATCAGGCCGAGAGTTTTAATCAAATTCTATTCATGCCTAAAGCTTAGGCGAAAATAGAAATTTTGTTTTTATGTTCTCGCCTAAAGCTTAGGAGAAAATAGATTTTTTTTTTCACCTCGACAGGCCGACAGGATTTGATTTAGAGTAATTAGATTTGATTTTTTTTCGCCTAACCAGTGGCCGAGATTAGAATTCATTAATTCATTTCAGTGGCCGAGAAAAGAATTGTATATGTTCATTGATGAATTATGTCATAACATTTATTTATTTTACCTTAGCAGTTATGGCTTGGAGAATGATCAATCCCGGTCCTATCGACACGTCTATGTTGACAATGCAACCCGGTCATCGTTCAAGATCTATTTGGACAGATGCAAATGTTGCAAACAATTTACATATAAAGGGTTGTCGATATGAAGGGAATTTAGCTCCGCCGCGACATCACAGAATGATCGAAAACTTGCTCATTAGCGGTTTTTATGGTGTGGCGCTCATTGACCGCGTTAGGTTAGATCATTCATTGATCTGTGCACTTGTTGAGTGTTGGCGTCAGGAGGTCCACGCGTTTCACCTACCATTCGGTGAGGTAGGTATAACACTTCAAGATGTTGAAGTGTTATTTGGATTAAAGGTGGATGGTCTAGCTGTTACGGGAGTACTTCAATGGACTAGACAACAATGGCAGATTATGTGCGAGCAATTGTTGCGTTTTATTCCTCCCGATACAGCTTTTAGAGGGCAAAGAATAAGTATGATGCTTATTCCGGACATTCCCGAGTTCACAGACGCGAGCACGGATGATGATGTCGCGTTTGCAACGCGCGCATATTTAATACGTGTGTTAGGGGGGTTTCCTTTTTCCAGACACGTCGAACAGCTTGTTAAATCTTTACTTGCTGCCGTTTCTGGAAGATTTTGAGGAGTGTGATCAGTACAGCTGGGGATCAGCTGTTTTGGCCTTTTTGTATAGAGCTCTGTGCAGTGCTTCTGAGCATGACAGAACTCATGTTTGCGGGTGTCTACTCCTTTTGCAAATTTGGGCATAGGAGAGGCTTCCAATGGTAAGACCGCAGGGCCTTTTACCCGCACATAACGGAGAAGACTTGCCACTTGCATCAAGGTTAGTAGTAATAGTAATTCTTTAAAAACAACTTCGTTTTAGCACAGTATACTCTTCTTGTCCTTATTTAATTTCTGTTACAATTGCAATTGTAGGTGGGGAGGTCCACATGCTTGGGCAACTGTGCCGAATCACGTGGTTCGTGCATATCGCGACCAATTAGATCGCGTGAACGCTAATAGTGTAAGTTATTTTCTTATTTGATAACTTTTTAATTATATGTACAAAATTGTAGAATGATAAGGACTTTACTAAATTAAGTATTAATGTTTTGTGCAGTTTGTGTTCCAACCGTACCGTCTTGTTTTGCACCACTTCCCGATTATTGCAGAGCCGGGGAGGATATTTGGACTGCAGAAGTTCCGTTGATTTTTGGCTATGTAGTTGAAAATTATTACCCGTCACGCTTTTGCAGGCAGTTTGGTGCTCTACAAAATATCCCGCCCCCGTGCAATACAACCAGCAATTGCACGCTATTGACGGTCGGACATCTAATGCCGCGCAAATTCTCGCGCCACATATCGATAGGTGGAACCATCGCCACGAATATGTTTTCGCAATGTTCGTGATGGACAACCCAAATGCCACGCGCGAATATCGATTATGGTTCCACACACATTGTCGTCGCCTCATTGGTAACCCTGAACACCGCCAAGATGAGGGTTATATCCAAACTGCAGCGTCATTAAATGACACGGTTAGTTTGTTAATTAATTTTATTCTATTACTTAATTTATTATAACTGAACATTAATATTTGTTATATTTCATGTAGATGCATCTTTTGAGCCAAATGAACTTGGGTATGGAAGAGGCTGGAAATGATCCACAGCGTCAGTCTGAGTGGTGGAGGGAATACCTTGTGGCCTTGCCTGCGTATGTTGACCAAGCCGGGTACGATTTTCTACTGGACTTCCCAAATGAAATGTATAATACTCAGCCAGTGGACGCACCTGTTGAGGCTGGTCGTAGAGATCGACGACCTGAGCGAGACCATTTGCGTGGTCAACCGCAACGGAGCGGGCGGCGTAGGCGTGTTAGGGTAGATGAGGGCATGCATGCTCCGGCACCTGGAATGCAACATCCGGCTGTGGCGGACAATGTTGTAGGGGGCAATGTGGATGCGCTCGCACTAACAATTGTTCTGGGACAAAACGACGGTAGCGGCATTTCAGGGAGCATACACTTCATTTGATCAAACCACTCAATTCCCTCACCAGACGCAGGCATCCTTTAGCCAAATTTTTGACCCGACCCAAGCCTCTTCTAGTTACCCCCAAGCCTCATATCACCAGCATACGGGTATAGCACATCTACATACCACCCAAGTCAGTTTGGTGACGTTGGGGAATCATCTGCTCAGGGTGGTTTGAACTTGGGACAGCCAAGGCAAGATACACAGCCAAGAGACGACGCCGATGATTTTATATCTTATATGAATCCGACGCATCGATGGCTGTAAATTTTATTTTACCTTGAATATTACGTTATTATTTTGTGTTACTTCTTACTCATGTTTTGATATTGATAAATAATTTCTCTAGTGCAATATATTTTATTATAACAACATCATTGACATTAGCTAAATTATTTTAGGAGTTTGCATCAATTAATTTTTCCTTTTTAAATAATAAACATTTGCATAATAAGTACCCCGTATCTTTGAAACAAATTTAAAGTTAGTCATTTCAAGAACATAAAATCACCAAAATACTCGGTCACCTTAATTCATTAAGTAATTTAATTTAGCGTTGATTTTAGATTTAGTTATCTTACAAAATTATTTTGCAAAATTATACTAGGATGGTTCAAAAGTAGATACGTTGATTGATAAGTAAATACACTGGTTTATTAGTAAATACGCTGGTTTATATGTAAATACGGTGGTCCACCGTATTTGAGAAATGAAAATATTATCTCAACTTTCCCTTAGGCGAGATATAAAGAACCAATCTCACCTATGAAAAGACACTTTCCTTGATCCATAACCCATACAACACATTTCCTTGTCAGGATCCCATGTTATAATCTCTCCTCACCGGCAAATGGATCCTCTCCTTCTTCCTATTTTCTTCTCTTCTTCTCCTTAAGCTGTCGTCGAAATTGAGGGGGGATTGGGGAAAGTTAGAAGCATTTCAAGTACGTAAAATTTATGACTTATGTTAATACCGACTGTAATTGAACCCCAAAGAATTCATCGATTCTGTCTTCGTCCCTTCAGAGCTTCCTCTTTCGACGTCGGCAGAATATTGCAGCGAACTTCCCGCGAGTAAAGAGTAGAAAGCTAATAAATGAGTAGCACATGCGGTAATGCTTCGTCAAGTACAGGTCCCAAAATCCTATTAGCGAAGCCTGGACTTGTCACCGCCGGCAAGTTCAATCGCGGCGGCGCTGACCTTGTATGCCGGGGTCAATAGGTTCACTCAACCTTCTCTCTGACTCCTGGGAGTTCCACACTGATGGTTTCTTCCCAGTAATTACACTCTCACTTTTTTTGTACTCGCTAGTCGCTAGGAAAATCTCTGGATTACTTTTATGAAGATGTATTTGTTCGTATGTTTTTGCAGTTTTTGACTGATAATACGGATTTTACTATGGTGGGGTGATTGGTCCACCAGGGGTGGGCAAGTCAACTATAAAGAACAAAATTTATGGCTTTGATTCTAGCTCTCCTGGTATGCAATTTTTGTTTAGTCAATCAAGTAACAGTATTTGCAACAGCTCATTCAATTGATTTGAAAAGAATGCTTATTAGTTTGGATTGTAATTGTTTAGGAATGCTTCCTCCATTCGCAAAACAATCAGAAGAAATAAGGGCAATGGCGAAGCATTGTACTGTTGGAATCGAACCTTGGGTTTCATCTGAACGGATTATACTTCTTGATTCACATGTGTTTAATTCGTTAGTTAGTAACAATCAGTTTTTGGTGTTTTACTCTTTCCTTTGTTCACTGACAGCTTAAGGAGAAGAAGAGAAGAAAATAGGAAGGAGATACCTAGTTGTTGGCGGCCGGAGAACAGGATCGGCGAACTCAAATGGAAGGAAAAAAAAAAAAAAAAAAAAAAAAAAAGCAAATTACCTTTTTACCCTGATTGAACGGTGCATATTAACGGGTAACCACAGGTCCGTTACGGGAGGGACAATATATGTATTCTTTTGATAATTAAGGGACAACATTTACACCACTCATAATTCAGGGATGATATTGATAATTGACAAATTATAGAAGGGTATTTTTTTACAATTTTTCCTTAATATTAATATGAATTGATATTAAGTACGAATATTAGTAATATTTTTAGTGTGTTTTATTGTTTTGGATTTAAAAACTTTAAAGTTAAACTTGAACATGATTATAATATATTTATTATTAGTGTTTATATTTTTGTAATTTTTAAAGATATTTATTCATGGAAAAAAAACAAGGAATAAGGTTTAAATTGGTCATTGAACGTAACCTGGAAATGTAATTAAGCCACTGAACAAGAAAAATAGTGTAATTAGACCACTGAACACTCTAAATATATGCAATTTCACCTGATAGCAGGTTACCACCCATTTCATCAGTTTACTTGTTTATGTGGGTGATGAATTGTCATTTTAAATAATTTTTAATAATAAACTTTAAAAGTAAAAATAAAAATTAAAAAATTAATTAAATTCTTTAAAAAAAAAAAAAAAAAAAAAAGCGTTGGGGTGGCCGCCTGCCACCCCTTTCCAGCCCCCTTCCTCCTTTGTCCCCGGTTGGAGACGAAGAGACGAAGATAGATCCTTCACCTCCGCCGGAGACGAAGGAGGAGTGGGGGAAGGGGGTGGCCGGTGGCCGGAATCCGTCGCCGGAATTAAATTGACCTGTAATAACAGGTCAATTACCGGTTTTTGGGCTTCATCGACCCAATTTAACATGTTTGAGTGTTTAATTGACCTTTTTAATGTTTAGGGGCCTAATTGATCTTTAAGGTAAAGTTCAGGGGCCTATTTGACCCTTTTCTCTATCTAAAATTAACAAAACGACGTCGTTTTGGGAGGCGCGGGGCGCACATTGCTATGTGCGCCACGATATAACGATTGGGGTTACATGATCCCAAACTGGCGGGCCGACACGCAAAAAACCCACTAAAAATTAGGTCTGCGGTGAGATGGGTCGGCCTGCTTTGACAGTACTATTTGAGACATAATATCAAAACATCATAAGTCAGTCTATAAATGTGACTTTAGTCCCTCAATTTTTTTGAATTATTATTTTTGTACATAACTTTTCAAAAAATTATAGTTTTAGTCTCTAGAACAATATAACTGTTAAACTCCGTTATGATTTTACTTTTTACATGAGTATTTAATCAATTTGTTATGCTTCCTTAATTACAATCCTTTTCAGTCTTAATATTTCATTTGTAATTTTTTTTTAAACATAATTTTAATAGGTTCATGTAAGGAAAAACAAGAATGATATACCATAATTGAAGAGAAAATTTAAAGAAGTCTGATAATTATTTATTTTGCAAATGAAATACTAAATCCGAAGATGTTATAAAGAAAAAAGGTTACAAAAATAACAATACAAGTAAAACTCGTTGCTCCAAGTTTTAAAATAATTTTTTTTTAAAGTTAAAAGACGTATAGCAACATGTCACATTTAACGTGAAATATAACGATGTTTGCATCTCACTTTAATAACATTGTCAAAAAAAAAAAAGCATTGTCTATTCTCACATTTAATGTGAAATATAACAATGATGACATGCCCATCTTCTCACCAAAAACAACAATGCAGGAGGAAGATACCCAAACACAAAACAAACAAATACAAGGTGAATGTCAAAAGAGTAAGTTACTATTTGGTAGCATATTTAGCTAATCAATAAATTTTGTCTTATTTAATCACTATTAATTGTTTGACTTAATCAAACAATCAATATAAGTGTTTGATTAATTAGCTTTTTGTAACAACTTATTGCTCCAAAACGCTAAAATTTAAAAAGCTATTTTTTCGATCAACTTTTTGAGAAAATCATTTTGCATGTAATCAACTATCAGCTAAAATCTAATTTACCAAATATCTTTCTACAATCAGCTAATGCTAACAACTACTCAAACTCACTATTCACTAACTCAATCAGCTAACAGTTATTTACCAAACACCCCTAAAACAAAAACAAACAAACAAAAAGGAAAAAAATAAAATAAGAAGAAGGTGAAACTAAATGAGAAGAAAGAGCCATAGCAGAAAATTGCAGGAAAACAAATGAACATGAATGGCTTTGGATAAGAATCAACCACAAGCTGCTGGGCAGAAACAATTACAGGAAATTTGTTAACACTTAACAATGCTTCACATTCACAATACCACCAAATGAAGAAATCAATTGATGTAAACAAATGCAATTTATCGATGGACAAAGAAAATGATATAATTCTTACAAGGAAAAAAAAAAAAAAAAAAGAGGAAAATCAACACAATAATATTAACCAAGTAAAAAAAAAAAAAAAAAAAAAAAAAAAAAAAAAAGCCTGCTTACGATACAGAGGCAGAGGCAAACGAAAACGAATTTACAGACATCAACCCTCTATTGGATTTTACATGGACATTTTACAAGTGGGATATAATCAGGCTACACAAGCCAGCCAAATTTACAATCAGGATACAAACCAATTACAACACAAAAGATACAAAATTCTAATCATGGAATCTAATTACAATTCACAAAGTATACAATCCTAATTGTAAGAACAATTCCATAAATACATATGCAAATATGCAATCACCATATCCAATAAAGCCTTGAGATGGCTCACCGAGAATACATTTTGTAGTATCTTAAGCTCATAGTTTCATATGCTCCATGGAGAAATGAGTAACCCTCCAGTATGATAGTAATTGCTTAATTTTACAACACAAAGTTAAGCATACAACAGTTCTACCAGACCATCCCTAAAGTTGAATTGGAATTGTGTACAAGCCATCTAGTGGACAAGTATGGGGCTCAAACTTGGTACAAGACGCTTACAGGCTGATAGAAAGGGACAAGCATTAAAATGAAACGCTTACATGTTTGGAAAATACTACACACAATCTACCAAAACAGCTCAAAATGGGATTTGTAAAAGTACATATGGGAGACACATCCCTATGGCAATAACTGGCGACATGATTTGTAATCTTCTTTACAAACTTTCATGAAGGGTATATAGATTTCATGAGGAAAACAAAATACGGCCACATTCAATGGGCCAAAACACTAGGATTGTCAGAGAATTCATCCAAGTTAACTCATCTTCCTCCATGTAACCAACATATGCGGATTTAGACATGAAAACAAAGAGTTGCCTCTCTGCTCCCTGAATACGATAATTAAAGAAAAATTCCCATGTCAAAGTCCATCAAAAGAGATCAAATACTGACAGGACAACTATATTTGCACATAAAAATGCCCACCCCTAAACAAAATATTAAGCGAAGAGGAAAAAGTTAAATGGTACTTGTAGGAGATCAGACATGGCCAAAACAAATGCTTCAGATAAGTTTAGCATGCTCTTCTGAAATATTGTTAATTTCTTATTTATATCATAAAAATGTCACAAACTGGGCAGACCTAGAAAACAGAACTTCCCACGCAAGGCATCACGCAAATTTCAATCAGTGCCACACTGCCACATCTTAAGTTGTTCAGCATTTAGCAATGACCCAACAATGGCTATGCTTATCACTCGCACAAGTATAAATGAAAAACTAAAAGTTCAAACACACAAAAAACAAAAAGTAAATGTTATTGATTATGCACTTTGTTATGCCATATAGGTTTCTAGATGCTTTTAGCTGAATTCTTAGAAAAACAACAAAATAAAGAACACTTCACTTTGCCGTACTTTATAAGAATATACAGTCTCTCACCACCAAGGACTATTCACTTTTAAATATGGAGTAATAAAATATTTAGTATTAAAGTTCCATATTAGAATGCTCATCCCCATAAGTTAGTACAACATATCTTAGTGTGAACCATAAGAAGTTTTTTTTGAAAACCAAAGAAAAAGAACTGAACTGGGAAGCACATTATGCTTCAGGAATATCTTAGATGATCCATATAAAATGCTAAAAATAGTGTCACCACTCACCACCTAGCCTCAGAGAGAAAATTTCACTTCTTGGAGAATGCATTGTAACTTATATAGAACTTAAAATAACAATTACCAAAATTCAAAATTCATGGAGCATATATCATTAAAACAAGGACTGGCTCTGTAAACAAGTAATCACATCATCAACAACATTACTTCTTAAACCAGACAATGGAAAATCAAAAGAAATTTGAAAAAACAAAAGAAGCTTTCTTCATGAAAGAAAGGCAAATGCAACGAATATTTTAAGCAAGTCAAACTATAATGGAATATAACAGGAAGCCAGGAACTAGTTCAATAAGCAAGCAACCATATCATCAACAACATCACTTAAACCAGACAATAGAAAATAAAAAAGAAAGTTGAACAAGCAAAATAAGCTTTTCTTCATGAAAAAAAGGCAAACGCAAAGAATATTTTAAGCAAGTCAAACTACATAACAGTATATAACAATGTTCCTGGTGTCTCAAATTTCATAAAAAGCAAGGATAAAACCAGCTCAAGAGAGCTAATGGAACCAGAAATCCCTCAATCCTAGATAAAGATTGGCAGCAGGCAACAAGAACTCTCAAGTCCCAACACACTATGAAATCCCACAGAAGTCCTGATAAAGGTCCTCAGGATCATAAGACAAATATAATGTCTTGCACCAATGGTTCATAGCAAATAGAATAAAAGTTAAGCTATATTCTTACTTCATTGAATTCAGGAAGAATTCATATGCCTTCAAGCAGTCAGCATAGGAATGCAGTGAAAGGATAATGGGGTGGTAGGAGTCCAATTAAGACCATGTGAAGAATAACAGAGCATTTAGCCATGTTACTCTGATGGCAACCTTTTCCGCTTCCCATAGTCAGTATCCCTCGAACGAGATCGATGATCCTCTTCCTGCACTGCTCTGGATCTGCTTCGAGATCTTGAAGAATGTCCCCTATCATAGTCATCTTCATA